TTTTTTTACTCTTTACACATGAATGTATACTATATTTTCAGCTTATGTTGTCGGCCCGGGAGAGTGTCATGAATTATGTTATTTAACTACGTCACAATGCGCGCGACATGTAATTACAACAACAATAAAGAAAGAAGACGTTACGTTTACTCGTCTTATTTTGTCGTTACAACAGAAGCCATCAGGTAATCATCACAAAATATCGAACAGACAAGTTCAAAATCATAGCTGTATTAATCTCAGGTTTCTATTTAACAATGTCAACGTCTCTACATGTGGCTGGAGTTTAATTGGAATTTTGGAAGTTCAGACCAGAGGTACTGCAGTTTCATTCATTCTGGTTTCGGTATGCTTCAATCAGCCCACGGTAGAGAAGATCCTTACTAACTATGATCGGAAAAGAGTTATAATTACTAGCTGTTCCTATCCTGCCGATACTTATTAATTAGAATAAGCAGTTTCTTAGATAAAATGTAAAAATGGCCCAATGATTAATAATCTCAAAATGGACTGAAAAGAACATGACTTGGACTGTTGCAGATCTGTTGGGGAATTTGGTATTTTTAGACTTAGTTCCTCAAGAAATAGTGCATGTTCTTCAAGCGGTAACTCTACCATCTCCTCAATGTTTCCTTCGCATTCACTCTTCCTAAAAGGAAGACCATAAAGAATATCTTTTCACCGAGAAGATCTACATTCAGTCCCACAATCATCCAAACTATTGGCCCATATGTCTCTAGGTTCAAAATTGAAAAGGAACCAAGGCCTTTGATAAGAATCACTGAATGATTTGAGAGCAACTGAAAGTACAGGGAAACCAACAAAACAGAGCAAGCAGCTGGTATCGTCTGAATGTGAACCGGCCGCCGATAATCTTTTCTTCTCTAGGATATTATTGAGATACCATTTTTTTTTTCTCAAAGGGCACGGTACTCGGGCGGTACTCAAGACTTCGGGCACAGTTTTTCCCAATAAGGACCTACCGGCTAGCGAATAACATATATTTATTCTTCAAAATTCATCCAAGATATATCGTCACCACACGCTGTAAATATGCTATCCATATCTTTCACATGCAAATATGAAAAAATTTGCCAAGTTATATAATTGATTGCATTTGCGCTCTTAAAGAGAGGCTATTTACTTAAGAAGCATTTGTTGGTGTAAAAATCGGCTTTTCCTTATGACAAACGGTAAATATTTTTATAGGGAGAACTTGCTTAAAAGTTGTACCAGTAATTGAAAAAGCATATTATGAGATAATAACGACCCGTAATAATCGCTCTGTTTTTTTTTTCTTAACTATCTAAGCTATCCAACAAACAGAACATAAAATGTCGGCTTATGGATCGAATTTATCTTTGTGTGTTGATGGCGTCTCTTTTCGTTCGTAATCCTTATTGGTTGATAATTTCTTAAAACCCTCCATGAGAAGATTCGTATCCGCGCACGCGGCCATTTAACATTTAAAAGAAAATTCCAAAGATAGCGTTACTTTCGAAAGGAACAGTTACCAAGTATCTGTATTAGACTTGAGTTCACGCATAGTCTAATGCAATTACTCCTCAAAAGTTCCGTATTGTTCTCTAGCGCCGTCCCCTAGGACTGGTGCGTGTTCTTCGTGTCCTCTTGCTTCATGAACCATTTCATCTGCATTTCCCGCCTTTTTCAATAACAAAATTATCGAAACAACCATTCCGCAAAGTAGAACCACGTTCACCGACATAATCATCCAAATGATGGGTAAGGATGAGTCAGGGTTCAGAGCTGCGTACCTTACGTTCATGAAAGAGAAATGAAGAGTCAAAAGAACCAAGGTCTCTGCTGTGTTTTCCAATGGGAACTTTTGGTAAGAGTCGTTTAACGGCCTGAAGGACAACTGCAAGCACAAAGCAACCAGCAAAACAAAGCAAACAGCTATCGTCTGAAAGGACGATGCACGATTGATGAGAGACAACGCGAAAGCGATCAGCATCCGCCTTAGAAGAAAGATGATCTCAAAATAGGGACGGAATTCTTCCCTGTATGGCAAGTAGATAGAACCGAGCCAGCTGTCCAAAGATTCTTGGTCTTGCTGGGGCATTTCATGTCTTCTGGCCACCTTATTGAAGTGCAGGAGAGGAAGGAACAATCCAAAAGGCACACCGATCACATAAAGAGGCAGGGCAAGCCAGCCTAACACCTGTAAGATGGTGTAGTCATAACCTTCACATTCCATCCATGGGGCCTCCCTCAAGTAACGCTGGCCATTATCCTCACCACAATGCGCAAGGGTAGACGCTGTCTTTTTCACAATGGGAAAGTACGTAAAGTTAAGAGTCATGACCGAGAGTTGTAAACAGGTATTCCGAAGTCGAAGTCGTCTTTCTTCTAAATTGGGATATTCAAAAATTTTAAAGACGAGGTAACCAAGGGTGAAGTAGAACCAGACAAGCAAGATGCAGATGAGAGGAAGAATTAAAAGAGATGCGAGCTCGCCGAGTGGTGTAAACAACCTCGGAAACTCACAAGCCAGGCCAGAGAAACGAAAGTTGAAAACATTTCCAATGTATCTCTGCGTCTCCAAAACCTCAACCGGCCAAACGTCCGTGTTGGACAATAAGGCATCAAATGTTTGGAAATAAAATACGCTTGTCTTCATGATTCCTCTTGCACCCTTTCCTCTTCCAGCTAAACCGATGAAAAGAGCAATAACGTTGAGTTCGAGGAGCCAGGCTGGAATGATTTGAAGCATCGCCAAAACGGTTAAAATGATGATTTGAGAACAGACAAAAGTAACAGATAGAAATCTCTTCTTCTCGTAAAAGAAAAACCCAAGGGTAATGAGC